ACCCATATTCCAGTGCCTGATACATTTATATCTTTGACTACTGCTTAACTGAGAAGGTAGAACTACTTTATAGATAGCTTTCAGAATCTCTTAGATTGTTCAGCTTCTCTTGACCAAATATATTAAAAGAGTGTACCATTATTTGTAACCAAATATTTTACAAATGTGATTCCATAATTTCTACAGAGTAGCTGGGCTCGGTGGCCCAGCCTGTAATCCCACGCCTTTGGGAGGCTGAGGTGAGTGGATTGCCTGAGCCCGCGGGTTTGAGACCCGCCTGGGCAGCGAGACCTCATCTCTACAATAAATAAAAAAAAATCAGCCGGGCATGGTAGCGCAGGCCTGTAATTCCGGCTACGCGGAAGGCTGAGGCGGAAGGATTGCCGGAGCCCAGCAGGTAGAGGCTGCGGTGGCCGGGAGCGGCCACTGCACTCCAGTCTGGGCGACAGAGTGAGACTCCAACTCAAAAAAAAAAAAAAAATTTTCTACGGAGTTATCACCTTCTTTTTGCACATCCAAATTTCTCTTGAAGCTCTTGTGTTAAAAATTTCATAAAGCTTTAAGCCCGGTCATTTAAGAAATAATTATAGTATAGAGGCAGCAAAGAAAATTAAATTATTTTGAATTTCACCTGATTTTTATTGGACTTGTTACCTTATATATATTAGAATTAGGATATATTTCATGGCTTGGATTGAGAATATTTATGGCACGCTCCTTACTACTTCATTACCTCCCATATTTATTCTATGTAGTGAGAAAGTAATGTTTAGAAGTCTGAAAACCTCCAGGAAATATACAAAATATACACACACACACACACATGCACGCACATTTTAAGAAGGGAAAAAACGGTATTAAACTGTATTAAAATTTTGTAATACTCAATATATACTGATAACAAAAGATGACAAGTCACATTTGACTTCTGCAATTACAGGAGGTGCCCAAAGTGTTTACTTCCAGTTCTCAGAAACTTCTGATTATTGCCAACTACTGCAGGAGCTGTTGCTGTGAGAGGCCTCTCAGATCTTCCCTTGTGCACCTCACACACAGTATCGTGTCTCAAACTTATCACTAATGCATGCAACTGTTAGGCATATTGGAGGTCGTTGTACTTCCACTATGTTCTCGAATTTCAAATACCACTTCAAAATGGTCTTGCACTCCCTGAACCAGTCCTTCCGCCATTTTCTTTGACTATCCTGCCTGTCGCATGGTGGCACTAGCATTCATTTAATTAAAGCCATCTTTTGAGCAAACATCATACTACACATTGCTACTGTAATTCAATTCAACTTCGAAAAGTGATACATAGATAACATCACTTAAAATGTGTATACATTTTTCTTGGCACCCCAGTATTTTCTTCATTTTAAGTTTGGTTCGTAAATAAATAATAATAACAACAACAACAACAACAACAACAAATCTGACCCTGGATAGAATGGCAGTCTTGAAATTCTTGTGAATTTAGTAGTTCACTAGAGAGTTACCTGTTTGGCTGTATCTTATATCCCATGTATGACACCAAGAGAACATTTCACAGTGCCTGCTACTAAATTTTCCTAAATGACCAAAAGATCAAGGTTACTACACAGGGTTAGATTGATCCCAGGTAAATGGTAAAATGAGGAACATTTGTTTTATGTTGCTTCCTATATCTTTTTATGTGGCACCTTCCTTCCTTTCTGTCTTCTGCCTTCTTCTTCCCTTTTTTTTTTTTTTTTTGAATTGGAGTCTCAGTCGCCCAGACTAGAGTGCAGTGGCTGCTTCCAGCCACCGCAGCCTCGACCTGCTGGGCTCCAGCGATCCTTCCACCTCAGCCTTCCAAGTAGCTGGAACTACAGGCACGCGCTACCACGCTCGGCTAATTTTTTTGATTTATTGTAGAGATGAGGTCTCGCCAAGTTGCCCAGGCAGGTCTCGAACCCGCGGGCTCAGGCAATCCACTCACCTCGGCCTCCCAAAGCACGGGATTACAGGCTGAGCCACCTAGCCCGGCCTCTTCTTCCCTTTCTATTCCTCAACTAGCCATTAACTAATCCCTATTAACAAGAAACTGGTCATTAGGTTAGCCTTTGTTTATGTTATATCTTTCAAATATCTGCATTTTTAACAACAGCCACTTAAAGGCAAGGAGATGCATTTCAGAGGTCCATTTGGGGTCCAGGAATTTCCTTCTCCAAATATATGGTGTGTGTAAGTATATCTGAGGATTGAATAGAGCCCTCCATCCTGGGACCCACCTTTACTCCATTGCTTGATTTCAGAGGATGAGAATGACTTTGCCTGAGGAGTTGGAGAATCTCTATGTAAAAAATGACATTTGAGCTGGGACCTGAACAATCAATGAGATTTTCTAGTTGGAAGGTGATTTAGAGCAGGGGACAGAGGGAATAAACAGGAGCAGTGAGAAAGCATTAGAAAAAAAATGAAACAATAGCATGAAGAGAGGTACAGGAGTGGAAAAGCAGGGGGTATTTTAGGGACATCAAGTAGTTCTGGGTAAATGGGGCAAGCATTGCATGGTAGAAAGTGGAAAGAAAAATATGAAAGAAGACAAGTTGGGGCAGATTGTGAAGGGCCATGTATGTTATTCAAAGGAATTTGATCCTCATCCTGTAGGCAGTGGAATTTAAAAGGGGAAGAACCAAATTCCTATTATAGAAAGCTCTTCTTGGTAGTAGTGTGGAGGGTGGATTTCTGTGGGCAGGGAGACTAGTTACCAGGTGGTTACAGCAATCCAGCCAAGAGATAGCACAGGCACAGCTGCGGCAATAAAGAGGGACTGGCTTTTAGAGAGTTAAAAGAGAGCAAGGATAGTATTTAGTGACCAAGTTCTCCCTCATCCCAGTTGATTTATTCATTAATTCAATCAACATTGATCTGGTTCCCTAATGTAGGCCAAATTGTGTGAAATTCTTGAAAAATAAATAGGACATTGCAAAAAATTCTTGAAAACTAAATGGGACATGGCTCCTTCTTATAACATCAAAGTTTAATAAGGAAATTGGCATTTAACAATTTAAATGCAATGCAATGTGTACAATGGTAAGTGGTAAGCAATGTGTGCCATCAGAATATATTTTAAAAACGTTTCTAAGAAGTTCCATGAGAGTAGATTCAGTCTTTTACTCACTGCTGTATCTCTAGCATTTAGTTGACTTGGGGGAACTACTAGATGCTTAATAAATAATTATTGAATAAATATATGACCTTGGGTGTATAGATATATGGGTGGGGAAATGACACCTTCTTCCCCACTTTATTGTAGGCCAGGGAAGGGCCTTGTCTCTTGGTTTTGAAAACGAAAAGGTCAAAACACATAAGGTGGTATAGAGGTTAGGATGGTACAAGGTCTTTGGCTATAGATCTAGTTTCTTTTCTTTTGGGGACTTATGTGGTCTATACTGGGGGCTGTAAGCCTCTGAGAACTAGGTAGCAAGAGGAGGTTTGGAATAGCTGTTTGTTTCCTTTTTGGTATCCCTTGGAATTCGGTAAAGTCTTTTGAAAAATCCTAGTTTAGCCGGGCTCGGTGGCTCAGCCTGTAATCCCGTGCCTTGGGAGGCTGAGGTGAGTGAATTACCTGAACCCGCGGGTTCGTGATCCGCCTAGGCAACTTGGCGAGCCCTCATCTCTACAATAAATCAAAAAATTAGCAGGGTGTGGTAATGCACGCCTGTAGTTCCAGCTACTTGGAAGGCTGAGGCAGAAGGATAGCTGGAGCCCAGCAGGTCGAGGTTGCGGTGGCCGGGAGCGGCCACTGCACTCCAGTCTGAGCGACAGAGTGAGACTCCAACTCAAAAAAAGAAAAAGAAAAAAGAAAAATCCTAGCTTAATATATCAGAGATAAGGGAAACTCAGGGAGAGGCTTAGTCCAAACTTGGTCAGAGATCAAGGACAGTAGTATCCATCCAGAGTCAGAAATCAAGTGGGAGAATCCTGTGAAGAAGGCAAAACCTCAGCTTAGGAAATTTAGGCTGGTTATTGGTTGTTCCTGTTCACCTGAAGAGTCTCCATTTAAGTGTCGACCCTGGAAGTTCTAGATTTCATTTTATTATTGAAGGTTGACCAAGTCCACAATCTTTGAATTGCAACTCTGAAATCCAATAAATTCTGAAAACTAAGGCATTTTTTTGTAGTTTACTGAATGCTAAAACCTGATCTAATATGAATTCATTTGGCAGAAAAATCTGATGTAAAGTATGCAAAGCTATTTATAGTCTTAGTTTAATCTCAAAAGTGCTCATATTTTTATGTTTTGTGGGAGAAATATTTATGTGTTTGATTACAGGGTCTTGCTGCAGACACCCCTAGGATAGTGCTAGATAATATTTGGTAAATACATCCTATTGCAGTTTTAAAATCTCAAAATTTTTGAATTATAAAACATATCCTGTGCTTTGGATCTTAAAGAATGGTGAATTTATATTTTCTTTTAGGGATTAGTAAGGGCTTTTGGACAAAGTGTGAGTTGACTCTTAAAGATGAATAGGGGTATTTGTCCGTGTTTTAGTTTTCTAGGGCTGTTATAATAAAATACTACAGACTGGGTAACTTAAACAATAGAAATATATTTTCTCCAAGTTTGGGAGGCTAGTAGTCTAAGGTCAAGCTGCTAGCAGATATGATTTCTCCTGAAGCCTCTCTCCTTGACTTGAAGATGGCCACCTTCTCACTGAGTCCTCACATGGTCTTTCTTCTATGTGCATATGTCCTGGTGCCTCTTTGTGTGTCCAGGTTTCTTCTTCTTATAGACATCAGTCAGATTAGATTAGGTCTCATTCTAATGGCCTCACTTTAACTTAATCACCTTGTTAAGGGTCTTGGCTCCAAAAACAGTCATATTCTGAGGGCCTGTGGGTTTAGGACTTCAACATGGGAATTTGGAGGGATGCATTTCAGCCTGTAAAGTTTCCATGGGGTGTTTGGAAATCTGTGAACGTTTTCTTTAGAGATAACATGACTCTGGAGCATTATTCTCACTTACTTGGCAGAACCGGGACTACTACGCAGCCAGTAGTGTGAAAACTCTACATGATAAAGAATTGTCTGCTCAAAAGGCCACCAACTCTTCTGGTGTGAAACATGGAGTGAAGATTCGAAGAAAGGCTTAGACCAGACCCTGCGATAGGCCCATCATGATGAGTCTGTCTTTGGTGGAAAGTTGAGGGCTGACAATCTTAAGGTCATGAATGTTCTTTTCTTAAAACTGCTTTCTGTTCTCTCCTCTTTACTCACCTTTTAGTTGGTTTCCTCAAGCAGCATTCCCGGACTTTGTGAAGCAGGTGAAATGAACAGATGGATTTAACTATATAAAACTTGGATTGGAGTTTTGGCTCCCCAGTCTCGAAGAATCATGAGAAATTTGTACTTTCTCCGTTTCCCCAACTCACCTGTGACTCTTGGACTGAAATAACACCACTTTAAAAAAATAAATCCTGCCTTGCCTCTAGGCTTGCTGTGGTATGAAATAGAATTGCATTCAGAGCTTAGCATAGGTGCTCAAACAACCAGGGCATGAATTAGTACCCAGAAATGTGCCTCTGGCATGTGTGGGCTCTAACTTCTTCCTGGAATGGCCTTTGGTTCTAGCATGTCCCCTTTTCTTTCCCACTGGGCCCCTGACTCCTTCCTTCCCTGTGGTAAAAACGAAGCGAGAGTGACAATTCAGTCCTTTTCACGTTTAGAACATTGAAATGCCTTGCAAATATAACATGTATTAGAGCTGGAATAGGTTGTTAATTAAATTATAAATAAATGTATCACATAAATGCTAAGACTATCAACAAAATGAGCCTATTTCATAGACATTCACTGCCCAGACAGTACTCCATTTATGATTTCTTGAGTCATGCTGAATTATTCAGTCCTCTTTTTACAATTTCAACATCTAGGAGAAACAAAAAACTGTAACAATTGCCACTACATAAATAAAAATGAATAATTCAGAGCTCCCATCTTATTATACTCCCCCTTGTCTAACTCTTACTGATCTTGACTTTGCTTTTCATTTCATAGCACTCAGTGAGGTGGGCAGAGGAGAACTTTCAGGTATAGAAATAAAGCAGAGAGCATTTTAGTCATTTACCCCAGAAGTACCATTCCTGAACTGCTGAAAACCTGTGACCTGACTTCAATCCCCTTTGCATATATATATGGGCTCTCTCTAATCTCTATTCATCATTGGATTATTCTCAAGAGGTTTAAAAAATTGCAACTTTGTTCCAGTTAGCAGTTTTTAAAACTTTCCTCAATTGTGTTTCCTCTCAACAATTTTACCAGCAACTATCGCTTCAGGTTCTTCTCAGGTGTGATGATGCTTTTAGGCTTCTGTGCATTACGTATGTGCAGGATCAACGTCCCAAGTTCATTTTTTCAAGTGGGGGAAGAGCTGAAAACAGGAATGGAATTCTAAGGGTCCCAGTTGCAATCCCTTGGCTGGTGTGTGGGCTGTGCTGCTGGGCCAGGAACCTTTCTGATACGTCCTGTCAAGTTCTCGAGCATCTGCTGACTAACAGGCTTCCTGACCTTTGATTTGCTCCCGGTCAGTGGGCATTGCTCCAGCACGGCTGGAGCACATGGTGTAGAGCCAGATTCCGGACCAGTGCACCTCTGGCTGACTGTCACTCACCCCTTTGGAGCCATCAGAGAAAGAGACCTGAGGGATACAAAGCTAGGTAGAGAGCCCATACTTCCTTCTGTTGGAATTTTCTACCAGATTCTGGAAGAACATTTCCCAACCTTTATTCCACTTTCAAAATCACGACCAAGGGATAGAAAGTGGGAAAAAAATATTCCTACCAAGCCCTCAACTGGCCACAATTTGCAAAGATTAGAGGGGAGTCTCTCCTAGGCCCTAGCAGTTAATGAAATCCTTCATAGTTGTGTGCTGGCATTGCAGGCAGACAAAAGAAAATAAAGGAACCTAATTCGTGGGATTAGTAAACCCAGACCATTAATATACTAGTTGGCAAGATTTATACTTTTGCAGGTTCAAGTGCAAGGTTTTGGGCCTTTAGGTTTTTATTTTTCTCTTCTTTACCACCATCTCTATACCCTCAATAAAGGAGGAAGAAACATTGGAATCCTTTCCTCCTTTTTTGCGGACATTAATGTTTATTAAGATGGCCAGGTAAATGTCTGCACACTTTTCAACACACTCTTTAATCATTTGTGAGGGGGTTGGGGGCATGTGATATGGAGGTGGGTGTTGGAGCGATGCTTCAGTTTCAGAAGGCCTGGAGGCACAGAGTCACAGAGAGTTGTTTCCATGGCAGTGCTATGGAAACCAGGTTCTGCCGCTCACTCCTTCCCAGAGTAGAATTTCCATGCTTCATATAGCTTGGGCTCCAAAAAAGCTTGCTGGCATCTTCTCCAAATTGTGACTTTATCATTGTAACCTCATTGTAACCTATTGTTCTGGCCACTTATAAGTGGTGGTGGTGGGGGGAATGGAAAACCATAGGCGGAATTGAGTCCAAAACACTGTGCATTTTCCAGAAGGATGGAGAGAATAGTTAGTTTCATTGTACATCAACTGTCATTTCCATAAGTGTGCACTTTTCTCTGTCCCATTTTATAGCATTATTAAATCCTGTAGTATTATAGATGTCAGTTTCTTGCACCTATTTTTTTTTTTCTTAATCCGTTGAACTAGAAGTGCAGTATCTGTTCCTTTAGAAACTTGTCATCTCTTATATCTAGTCACACATGAAGGGTCTCACCCTTCGTATGACTTGTCTGTGGTGCTGTTTTTCACACACGGGCACCAGACGAAAGGTCATGGATGAATCACTGTAAGTTTTTTGTCATTCTGCAAATATCTCTCAAGTATACACCCTCTGTCAGTGGGTTTGTGGCATCATTTCATACATGAGAAACTGCAGATGTGTGTGTGTATGTGTGTGTGTGTGTGTGTGTGTGTGTGTGTGTGCGCGCGCACACATGTGCACGAGTGTTGATTCTTGTGACGTGGGAATGTTGACTTACACTTGCAGTTAACATCTACTTGTGTTCTTTTAATGGAAAGATTGTTGTGTAAGGAATGACGTCAAATGAAGCCCATGAATATAAGAACCAAAAGAAAAAATGCTAAAGTCTACAGGCACATTTTTAGAATGGGAGAAATAAAATACATGAGCATTTTAACCCCACCTTTCCACTTCAAAGATAGGCATAATGGACTTTTCTGAAATCAGGCAATGTTTTTGCAGTAAAAGCTTATTTTGTTATACTTTAAAAACTGGCAATCTTTTTTCGACTTTTCTGGTTCTTGTATTGCACAGAAACATTCCCAAAGGCCCTTTATTAGAATGTGAATATATCTCTTCAATATTCTCTTCAAATTTCTCTAGTACATATCCTCAAACCTCCCTTCTCTAATGATTCCATTTCCCTCCTCAATAAACAACCCACCTTTTATTATTTTTTAATCATTTTCTGCTCAAGGAATTTGTGAATCCCTGGATACTCAGTGATTGTTTTATTGTTATGCTGTCAGAAGTCCTTATATTTTTTTAATGGTCTGTTCTGAATTGCTAAATTCAGAGCTAAAACAAATTCCTGTCCTGTGTTTTTCTTTTGAGAGGTTTTTGCCTCATGGCTTAATCTCAATACCAGTATACTGATTTGATCTGAGGAAACGCACTTTGAGTACTGCTTAAACATTTGCTACCTGCCTGACTTTGTCACTCATTTATTCATCTAATATTTTAGTCATCTATTCTTTCATTCATTCAACTCCGGATAGTTTCTATGTACATAGCACCGTGCTGTGTATAAGTCATAACCAAGAAGCTTATGATACATTATATAAAAATTGAGCCATATGAGATTGCTGCTGTTGTACTGTTTTTTACCTATAAAATGGCAATTACACATGTTTTAACCTAAGATAAAGGTACAATGTAAACAAAATCTAGAAACACAAGATTGACATTGAAAGATAGATTTTAAAAATCCAAGAGAGAAAAGGAAGAGTTGAAAATAACCATCACAGATGGGAGCAGCTAGAAAATAAAAACTTAGGCCCTTTTGCTAGTACTGTAAAATTTCCATGGTGACCAATACAATAGCCACTAGACACGTGACTTTTCAATTTTCAACTTACATGAGCTCAAATTAAATAAAATTAAAAATTAAATTTACAGTATTATGGGCTGCGTTTCAAATGCTGAAAAGCCATGTGTGACTATTGACTGTTATAGTGGACCGCACCCGTATAAAATATTTTTATCATTGCTGGAAGTTCTATTGGATAGCATGAGGAACTTGATCATGAAAGAAAAAATAGGTTAAGGGAGCTTAAACTTCTATGAAAATCTGTAATGGTACAGAAAAGGTTTAGTTACTTGGGGGCAACTCTGCATTCACTGAAATGCAATGGTTTTCTTTGGTACTGAGCCTTGTGGCTGTTTTGTGAGTGGCTCAGTGAAATTTGTCACAAAGCTCATAACATACAAAATAAGCAGTACCCTAAAAAAAAAGCAACAATAAACAAACCAACACTTGCCTTGTGGCGATCCTCTCCTTTGCTGGCCATCTAGCCAATGCTAATGGCTAAATGTAACATTTGAGATCTGACCTGGCTTTCTTCATGCTTTATGGCCCCTCTAGCTGAGAGTTAGTGCACGCTGAGGAATACAAGAAAAGCTATCATTTGTCTGCCTTCACATCTTTTGAAAGAGTTTTATACATTACGCATTAAGTTCCTAAATCTAAACACTTTCCAGGTTCCCTGGAAATCTGAACATTTAATACCAACTCTAAATCTCTGCTCTTTTCTTCCTTTTGACTTTTTGCCTATGGTAACTTTCCCGTTTCCTTCAAAAGGAATCATTTTGGGGACTCCTCAGTGGTGACACATTTATCATTTTCACCTCTGAGTGAAACCCTATGTTGATCTGAAGACTCAGCTGGCGGTGCGTGAAAACAGATGTGCACAGAGGCGTACACACTGTTAGTCTTGCGATGTTCAAATTTCTCCGAAGTGAGCCTGTTTATCCTAACTAAAGCAAGGCCAAGATATAAAGAAAACAACTCGAGATGAGTAATTTTTGTCATCTGTTTTGTGAGATTGGACACACCTTTATTGCTGTGATTGGACTCTAAAAAG